AATTTTTTTATTATTTTTTTTTGGGGGGGGGGATTATAGGGTAACATTGGAATAACTAGAATCTAGATCTAGATCTAGATTCTAGATCTAGAATCTAGATCTATAAAGACAAAGACCCCTATATCACCCTATATCTATGACAACACCCTTGGCCCTACACCTGCACTGATCTCTTGGCTTAGGAGTAGGATCTTGATTCTAGATCTAGATCTAGATCTAGAATCTAGATCTATAGATCTACTCTAGGCTAAAGATCTAGATCTAGATTTCTAGTTTAGTAAGTCTACAGACTCATTCTGGCAAGTTTACTCACGTATTTCGCCGGCATTGCTACTGCCATATTGGATAAATGGGGTTCTAAGCCAACCCACACGAAAAAACTATCTGTCAATCTCATAACTTTGAAGAACACTGTTTTGTCCAAAATTATTTCTGAAAAATCAGACACTGCTATCTGCGAAGGAGAAGCCATGACTTATCAACGTCTCAACTGGTCGGTCGGCTTCTCGTTTCGTTTCGTTCTTTCGACACTGTCTCCTTACGTAGGCCTGCCTAGTGCCTGGAGCAAGCAACCCCAGCAGGGCCTCACAATTCATAAAAATAGTCATGACGTTCCAATATCCTTGCCCGAAAAATGTGCCGGATTTAACATTCTAATATAATTATATCCTGTATAAAACTCAAAATGTAAATTTGATCATTGCAATAAACATACAGGGTATGCAGAGACATTTTTTGATGAAAATTTGATAAAATGAGGGACTATAGTTTGACCTCGAAGTCAACTGATCATGCCGCGGAATAATTTTAAATGCCTCTATGTATATAAAGATGCTTCTGGTACTACTTTTCACAGACAACTTTTTTCGCTCACTCCTCGTCGTTCACATTATCCACAAGACAAAATGCGTGAAATCGTTCATCTTCAAGCCGGTCAGTGCGGAAACCAAATTGGTGCTAAGGTAAGGCAAAACGTTATAATGTGCTTTATGTAAAACGTGTCAGTGTCTTAAGCTGAGGTTCTTATTCAGTTGGATATTTAAAATCTAACGTCGCATTTTCGATGGTATCCAGATTCTGCTTGCCGGCATTTGGCCTGGCCGCCGGCCGGCTTCGTGATTACGTGGATGGCGAGCTGTACTGCTAGCCTAGTCTACTTGCTCATCAGCCTGCCGCCGGATCGGACCACGCTACGTTTCACACTCGCACATGATATAGATTCTAGATTTAGATCTAGATATCTAGATCTAGTTTATCTAGAAAATCAAGTGCGTGAGTCAAAGATTTAGATCGGAAAGATAGATTAGAGATATTTGAGACAGGCTACTTTGACTTAACTTTGTGCAAATCTTCTGAAATGAGAGAAAGAAGCCTACTTCCGCATTTTGGCGGGTAAAATCCTCTCACTTTTAGATCTACTTTTGAAAGGCCTTCCTTCCCTTTTGAAATTGAAATTGGTGGTTGAAATTAGAGATTCTAGATATTAGATCTAGATCTAGATCTAGATCTAGATCTAGAATAGATCTCTAGATCGAGATCTAGACTAGTTTCTAGGCCTAGATTCTAGATCTAGATCTAGACTAGATCTGGATTCTAGATCTAGATCTAGAATCTAGATCTAGATATAGATCTAGATCTAGATATCTAGATCTAAATGAACATTGCGGATGTCTTTTCAATGAATGATCTTTTTTCCTCCGTTTTGGAGTTGAAGGAATCACAATTTGAAGAATAGAATGTCTTTGATCTAATTTCAATCCAGCAGTCACCCTCTCCATTTCTCTGTGCCTCTCTCCCCTCTTTTTCTGCCTTCCTCTTCTCTCTCTCTCTCTCTCTCTCTCTCTCTC